GTAATTAGAATGGAATTATTTGTAGGGCAGTGTTAATAATGACCCTATAAAGGATATTTAGTCTTCATGGGGTATGATCAACTCCTTCTCTCTCTGTGTGTGCCATCAATTTTTTTCTCTGAAGGACAAATATAACTCACACATTCTATCAAGTGAAGAATTGGGTTTGAAAATTTTCTTTAAAAATGGTCATTTCCCAAACCTAAGCTGTGTGGAGATAAACACCCATGGAATTTAAAGAGATGAACAGTTTGGTTTGAAGCAGAATAGTTTATATAACTAATCTGAAAATAAATATACATTCTCTTTTACAAATCTTAGTAAATTTGCTCAGTGTTAAATTTTAGAGTATAAAAGCACTGAAAGGGTTGCTATTACAGTTTATTTAGTAATTATTCAAGCAAAGTACTAAAATATGACTATTGAAAAGCCTATATAACATTAAAAATTTAAATCTTCTTGGAATAGAACCCAAATAATAATATGAAAAGAATATATATATATATATATATATATATATGAATGAAACAGCTGCCAGGAGAATGGAAATACAACCTTTTAAAATTCACATCTTATTTGGGTATTTCAATATATGCACAAATAGATGTAATGAATGAGCAATTTGGACAAAGACACAAATCCTAGGTTATAATACGGCATCATGGAGCATCTTTACTCTAGAGACCTTGTCCCTTACTCAGGAAGGGTCAAAATACTTTTTGGCCTTTAATTTTATTTGAATTACAGCAAGCATTATAATCACTAACCATACAACTCTGAAAATCAGAATCAGGATTGCTGAAATGAATGAACCAGTTAAATAGTCACACTAAAGCTTAATCTTGAAATTTGGAGCCTTTAAAATGGAATGGAAGTTCAAAGCTGGAGGGATGATGGTGGTGGTTAAGAGAACTTATTACACCAAGCAGACTTCTGCCAAGCAGGCACAGGCCAGGCAAGCCAAAATAGACCGATGACATTTCAGCTTGTCCCTAACCCTATTGCTGCTGGGCTTTGCCCTCAATCCCAGCAGACTTCTGCCACTGAGGTGCAGATCACGCCAGCCACAACCAGCCTCCCAAGTTCACCAGTGGACAAACAGCCTTTCCCTAGAACTCCAGCAGACTCCATAGACCCAGACGCAGTTCATGTCACCTGGAAGAACAGACGTCATAGGCTTACGCACAGTCCATAGCATTTGACAAAGAAGCCAAAACTATACAATGGAGAAAAGAAAGTATCTTCAACAAATGATGCCAGCACAACTAGATATCAGCACATAGAAGATTGCAAATAGATCCATATCTATTACCATGCATACAATTCAAGTCCAAGCGGATCAAAGAATTCAACATAAATTCTCTTCTATCAAGTTCGGTGATAGTGGGGAATAGTCTTAAATGCATTGGCACAGGAGGAAACTTCCTGAACCTAACACTAGTAGCACAGGCACTAAGATCGACAATTACTAAATGGGACTTGAAACTGAAAAGCTTCTGTAAGGCAAAGGACACTGTCGATAGGACAAAATGGCAACCCACAGAATGGAAAAAGATCTTTACCACACTCTAAAATATATGAAGAACTCAAGAAACTAGACTTCAAAAAAAAAAACAAAAACCAAACCAATAATTCAATTAAAATGAGGCACAGACATAAACAGAATTCTCAACAGAAGAATCTCAAATGTCATAGAAACACTTAAAGAAATGTTCATTATCCTTAACTATCAGGAAAATACAAATCAAAATAACTCTGAGAATCTACCTTACACCTGTCAGAATGGCTAACATCAAAAACACTGATGACAGCTTGTGCTGGAGAGGATATGGAGAAAGGGGACACTACTCTATTGCTGGTGGGAGTGCAAACTTGTACAGCCACTTTGGAAATCAATATGGAAGTTTCTCAGAAGATTGGGCATCAATCTATCTCAAGACCCAGTGATACCACTCCTGACCATATACCCAAAGCATGCTCAATAGTATCACAAGGACACTTGCTTAACTATGTTTGCAGCAGCCTTATTCATAAAGGTCAGAACCTGGAAACAACCTAGCTATCTCTCAACCAAAGAATGGAAAAAGAAAATGTGGTACATTTATGCAAAGGAATATTACTCAGCTGATAGGAAAGAAAGACATAATGACATTTACAGGAAAATGGAGCTAGAAAAAAAATCATCTCTAGTGAGGCAACCTAGACCCCAAAAGACAAACATGGTATGTACGTATTCATAAGTGGTTATTAGTTGTAAAGAATAACCGTGCTACAATCTACAGACCCAGGGAGGCTGGGTAACAAGGAGGGGCTAAGCAGGGACACATGGCTCTCCCTGGAAAGGGGAAATAGAGATTTCCTATTGGACTGGGAGCAGGTGGGGATGGGAACTTAAGAGACTGGGTTGGAGGAGGTAGGGAGAAGGAAAGAATGCTGAGAGAGATGACTGGAAAGGGGGATGCTTTACGGGCTCGGGTAGAAGTCTGATGCCTGGGCATCTACAAGAATGGTCCCAGCTAAGACTCCAGGCAGCAGTAGATGTATAGCCCGAACTAGCCATCCCTTTGATTGAATTGGTTACTACCCTGGTTCTTATCAGAGAGCCTTCAGCCACTGACTGATGGAGGCTGATTCAGAGACCCGTGGCCAAACATTGGGCCAACCTCGGAGAATCCTGATGAGGAGAGTGGGGAGGGATTTTAGAAGCTAGTAAGGTCAGGGACATCACAGGAAAACTCACAGAAATGGCTTGCCTGGCTCATGGGAGCTGACAAAGTCTGAACCAACAACCAGGGAGCCTGCATGTAAGTGACAGTTGTGTAGCCTGGCCTATTTTTGGGACCCCTGGTAATGGGAACAGGGGCTGTCCCTGGGACTCGCTTTTGGGAACCATTCCTCATGCTGAATGGTCTTGCCCAGACTGAATACAGCAGGTGGTGCTTGTTTTTATTGCAGCTTGATAGGTCATGCTTTGCTGATGCCCATGGTAGGCCTGCCACTCCCTGAGTGAATATGAAGGAAGGGTTGGTTGGGGGCAGATACAGAGGGGAGGAGAGGGGAAGGGGTGGGAGGAGGGTAAGGAGGGGAGAAGTGGAGGGATGATAGGCTGCTGTTGGGATATGAAATACATGCATGCATGCATACATACATACATAAAATAAAAAGAAAAATATCAACAACATGGGGCGAAAGAGCACTCACACTGCAGATAACAATTACCTGCAACTCCAGTGCCAGGGTATACAGTGTTCTTTTGTGGCTTCTGTAGGCACTAGTCATGTGGTGGTACACAGACATACATGCAGGCAAAACACCAATGTGCATAACACAAAAATAAATAAATATTAAAAAGTGTAAAGTAATGGGAGGTCACCTAGACTTATTCTTGCTCATTCCTCTAGGATGACTGAATACATTTTAATGCTTCATTTTTTAATGTACATTGTCCCTAATTTTAAAAGTTTCACTTATTTTATTATGTGTTGAAGTATTTTGTCTGCATGCATGCAGATGTATCACATGCGCTCCTGGTGTCCATGGAGGTTAAAGAGGGTGTTAGGTCCCTTGGAATGAGAGTCATAAATGGTTGTGAGCTATTGTGTGAGGGCTCTGAGTTTAACTTGAGTCCCCTGCAAGAGCAAAATAACTTAATAACAGAGTTCTCTCTTCAGCTCTATAAAAAGTGTGATTTTTCAGTGAAATAAAGATCTACAAGTAGTAATATCAGATAGAAATCTTCATTTTTGACAAAACCTTATATAGTGGTTTGAATAAAAATGGTCCCCATAGGTCCATAGAAAGTGGCATTGGAGATGTGGTCTTGTTGGAGGAAGTATGTGACTATTGGGGTGGGCTTTGAGGTCTCTTCCTGTTGCCTCCCTATCCAGATGTAGAATTTCCACCTTCTCTAGCACCATATCTGCCTACACTCTACCACGTGGATAATGGACTAAACCTATAAACTGTAAGCCAACCCTAATTAAATGTTTTCATTTATAAGAGTTGCCATAGTCATAGTGTCTTCACAACAACAGAAACAGTAAGACACCTTACATCAGCACGGTTTAGTAAAATTTTGAAATAGCAGATTTTGGCCTTTGAGATAGCTCAGTAGGTGAAGACACTCGCTGTACAAGCTTGATGGCCAGAGTCCAACTCCTGGAAGTCAGAGAGATGAAAGGAGAGATCCAACTCCATGATGCTGTCCTGAGTGCCACATTGCATGCTGTGGTACGTGCACCCACACAGATAGCATGCACACACAGTAAATAAGTAAACAAATGTAATTTAGTAAAAATACCACACTTGATCCTATCATCTCAAACTCTACACTAAGCCAGATTTAATTTGTTATGAATCAGTTTTATTATGTATTGATTTATTTGAGACAGACTAGCATTTTATTAATCAGGTGCAACAGTAATTATGCTTACAGACAAACAATAATTATGTGAATACAAATCTGTGTAAGATTTTTCTAATAGTTACTTGATGGCAAGCAGTTTAATTCTCATGTACATTAGCTTAACTGATTTTTATCAGGGAACTGGAGAGATGGCTCAGCAGTTAAGAACACTAGCTGCTCTCCCAGAGGACCCAGGTCCAAATCCTAATTCTGACACCAGATAATGCTGAAATATTAAACTACACCAAAGGGGATATCCTAAGATATTTATTGAAAGAGAAATCACTTACTTAAACACCAAGAAATCTAAGAACCAAAGGTTATGGCTGCTCTTCAGGTCAAAATAGAAACCCAAAAAGAAAGAGTCCCCTCCCCCTAGCTCTATTTACCACCATCCATTCTACATACCCGTGAACACACCCACATGGGAGTGGTCAGTGCTTATGGATACGTGATATCACTCCCTACACCTAGCTTGTAGTATGATGATGAATCATCATTGACAAATGGATTTGGAACCTCTTTGGTGACATACCTTTGGACTTGTCTGTGAGGACATTTCCAGAGAGAGTTAATTAAAGAAAGGTAGACTCACCCTTGGTGTGAACAGCACCATCTCAAAGGCTCCGCCTGGACTGAATAAAAAGGAACAAAGGAGAAAGTAAATTGCTTACCAACATTCGTGTCTTTGGCTTTCTGATCGATGATGTAACTAGCTGGTTCATGCTCCTGCTGCCATGCCTCCCTGCTGAAGTTGTCTCTGTTCCCTCAAAGCATGTGTCAAATACACCCTTACTTCACTAAGTTGCTTTTATCAGCAAAGAGAAAATAATTAATATGTAGATGTTATCAGTGAATGTCACACAAACATAGACATCTTTAAGTAGGAGGCAGCAATTATAGTCTTTCTTGGCTTCAAACTTAATTAAAGCTTGCTCCCCCACCCCTCCACTTGAGGTGAGTATGGATTCTGGGATACACAAAAAAATGCACATTCATACAACAAGGACATATGTTCAACTATGTTCATAGCAGCGTTGTTTGTAATAGCCAGCATCTGGAAGCAACTGAGATGCCCCTCAACCAAAGAATGGATGGAGAAAATGTGGTTCATTTACACAATGGGATATTACCAAGCAGGGAAAACAATGAAATCTTGAAATTTGCAGGCAAGGAAGAAAGCATCCTAAGTGAGGTAACCAAGTCATGGTATGTACTCATTCATACATGGATATTAGACATAGAACAAAGGATTACCAGCCTACAATCCACAACCCCCGAGAAGCTAGGAAACAAGGAGGACCTTAAGAGAGACATACATGGTACGTCAGAGAAGGGGAAAGGGACAAATCTCCTGAGCTAATTAGGAGCATTGGAGGAGGGGAAAGGGAGTTAGGAGAAAAAGAAGGGGAGAAGAGAAGGGGAGAGGAGGACATGAGAGAGCAGGAAGATTGAGTTAGGGGAAGAATAGAGGAGGGCAAGAAAAGAAACACCTTAATAGAGGGAGCCATTATAGGTTTAAAGAGACATCTGGCACTAGGGTAATGTTCACAGACCCATAAAGATGAACCCAACTAAGAATCTAGACTTGTGGTGAGGCTGCCTTTGATGCCTTTCCCCTATAATGAGACTGATGACTACCTTATATGCCATCCTAGATCCTTCATTCAGTAGCTGATCAAAGCAGAAGCAGGCACCCACAGCTAAGCACTTAGCCATACTACCAGAATCCAGTTGTAGAGATGGGGGAGTGATGAACAAAGGGATCAAGACTGCTGGAGAAACCCACAGAAACAGTTGACCTGACCTAATGAGACCAGAGGGACCTGAGTCATAAAGCTGGGGAACCAGCATTGAACCAAACCAAGTCCTCTGAATGTGGGTGTCAGTTAGCAGGCCTGGGAAATCTATGGAACCTCTAACAGGGGAACCAGTGTTTATCCCTAGAGCGCAAATAGACTTTGGGAGCCCATTCCCTATGGAGTGAAACTATTTCAGCCCAGATACATGGGAGAGGGCCTAGACCCTTCCCCAACAATGTGACAGACTTTAGTGATCCCCCATGGAAGGCCTCACTATCCTTGGGGAGTGGGTAGGCAGTGGGTTGGGGGTGTCAGTGGGAGGTAAGGGAGGATGGGAGGGGGAGGAAATAGGGGGATTGATATGTAAAATAAGATTGTTTCTAAAATTAAAAAAAACAATTAAAAATAAAGAAAATTACATTTGTTTACTTATTTTGCACATGCATGGGCACAAGAGCCATTGTTGTAGAGGTCCTAGATAACTTGTAGAAGCTTGTTCTCTTTTCCCGCCATGTCAGTTCTCGAGGTGAATGTCAGATTGCCAGGCTTGTGGCAAGTTCCCCTATCTGATGGGCTAGCTCATCATCCCCCCAAATGTAAGCTAAACGTTTTAAAAATTATTTTATATATATACTCATACACATGAGTGAGTATATACATTTTCCTTCCTCTGAAAGTATGTCTGTGCACTATGTGCATGACTGATGTACTTGCAGGCCAGAAGGGTGTTATGGAATATTAGTTGAAGATATGTTACATTCATTTATCCTGTGGAACATTTGTTTAATGATGCAAAGATGCATTTGCATTCTTTTCTTTCTTTATTTTTAAATTTAAATTTAAATTAGAAACAAGGTTGTTTCACATGTCAATTCCAGGTCCCTCTCCCATTCCCTCCCCTCCTCCCACGCCCTCCCACCAATCCCTCCAATATCCCCTCGTTTCCCCAGGGAGGGTGAGGCCCTCCATGGGGGTGTCCATAGTCTGTCATTTCATCCAGGGCAGGGCCTAGACCCTCCCCCAAGAGTCCAGGGAGAGAGTGCATCTCTCATTGTTGGATGGGAGTCCAAAGTCCATTTGTATACCCAGGATGAATACTGATCTACTACCCAAGGCTCAATAGATTACCCAGGCCTCCTCACTGACACCCACATTCAGGGGATTTAAAGGGGTTAAGACTGGGCTGGTTTAACCCCCAGAAACAGGTGACCTGACAAGGGTTAACTCTTGAATTCCAGACTGATGGCTGGGAATCCAGCATGGGACTGATCAAGCATTTGCATTCTTTTATGCTGCATTTGTTTAACTCTGTGAAACTGTGTTACTTTGCCTGTCTAAAACATCTGACTAGTATATTAAAGAGCCGAACAGCCAATAGCTATGCAGGAGAGAGAAATATTTGGGGCAGGCAGGCAGACAGAATAAATAGAAGGAGAAGAATGTGAAAGAGGAGTAAACAAAGGAGGAGAGGAGGATGACAGGGGCCAGCCATCCAGTCACGCAAGCAGCCACAGAGTAAGAAGGAAAGGAAAGCTTACAGAATAGAGAAAGATAAAAGCACAGAAGCAAAAGGTAGACAGGATAATTTAAGAAAAGCCAGCTAGAAACAAGCCAACCTAAGACTGGGGATTTATAAAATAAGTCTCCATATATTTATTTGGGAGCTGGCTACAGGGCACCCCAAGAACAAAGGGTAAAGTAAAAAAAAAAAACAAAAACACAACACAAGGGAGTATCAAATCCCCAGGGTCTGGAATTACAAACAATTTTGAGCCACATTGTAGGTACTAGAAACAGAAGCTGAGTCCTATGGGACAAGCAGCAAGTGCTTTTAGCCACTCTCCAGCCCCCACAGTTAAGCTTTTAAATTCTACACTCTAACGTTTCTTTTATAATGTTTACGTCTTCCACAATAACTGTGTGAAAAGGGATATAGCTAACACAAAATTTCTCTTTCTAAACATTATGATTTTATACAACAGCATGCCTAGAAATTTGTGTAATTCACTGAATGAAAGAAAATCATTAATGGCCAGGTGTGTAGCACACACCTTTAATCCCAGAATTCTGGAGGCAGAGGAAAGAGGAGCTCTGTGAGGTCAAGACCAGCCTGGTCTACATAGTGAATTCTAGGACAGTCAGGAATACGTAGATAGACCCTGATCCAAAAATTAAAAAAAAAAAAAGAAAAAAGGAAAAGAAAAAAATTGTCAATTTTATTTTGAGCTTGCAATTATAACAGGGTTATCACAGAAGGGCTTGTTTTTATTTGTTAATGAAATCTATCATTATTCAAATGAAAGATTTATTAAAATTTGCATATCATTATGTCATCTCAGGTTATCTACTCAAACTGTTTGCTCTATTAGTTTAAAAACAATGTGAGAGTAAAATATCTTCATTTAGCATAGTCCTTCCTCTAACAGAATTTCAAATTAATCTCCTCCATGAAGGATGTGGAGACATTATGATGTGCTTGCATCACTGTAAATGCAGAGTTGACTGCGTGCACAGGCTGGCGGTGTGTTCAGTGGTAGAGAGGCTAGCTTGTCCAGGCTCTGGCTTCATGTTCAGCACCATTAAATAAGGAAAAATAAAAGATCTATAGCTACCACATGGCAATAAATGCTCCATCAGGTTGAAAGTAGCACATGAATGCTTTCGTATACCTGCTGAACGTTGCTGTTGCCAAGCATCGATTAGTTGCTTAGCCTTTGAGTGAGCTGCTGATTGGGAGTTGTTGCTCCCTTCAGCCTCTTAGTGTCACAAGACAATGTTGTTTGTAGAGGAGCCAAGATCACAATCCTAAATTTTGAGTTGGATTCCTACTGAATGAGTGTGGTGTTGTTACCGTAGTAAAGTAAAATAACAGCAACAACAAATCCAAAACAGTTATCCTAAGTATGTTGGGACCATCTGTGCTATGTGATATCATAACTGACAGTTTAGAAACACTGACTTAAAAAAAAACTCTTAAAATGTACTTAGAGAAATCCTTGAAAACAAAGACAAAATGTGCTCCTAGGCACAAATATCCACAATAATTTTCAATATAGCTGTTTTATTCAATAAAACAATCAATTCATAGTAGTATCTAAGTATAGGATTAGTTTTTAAGCCTCCTACCATGTGAATATGTGTGTGCATGCATGTGTGCACCTGTGAACTGTATCTTATCTTTTCATTCACGTAGAGCAGATCTGTGGTAATTTGAATAAGAACGGGGCAGGGTGGTGGTGGCATAGGCTCATATCTCTGAATGCTTAGATCAGGGAGTGGCACTGTTTGAAAAGGATTAGGAGTTGTGACCTTGGTGGAGAAAGTATGTCATACAGGGTGGGCTTTGAGCTTTCAAAAGCCCATGCCAGACCCAGTGTCGTCTCTCTGCATGTAGATAAGGATGTAGCTCTCAACTATGGCTTCCATAATGGACTAAGCTTCTGAAACTATAGACAAGCCCCCTAATTAAATAATTTTTTTCTTTTTCTTTTCTTTTCTTTTTTTTTTTTTTTGAGACAGGGTTTCTCTGTATTGTCTTGGAGGTTGTCCTAGAACTCATTCTGTAGACCAGGCTGGCCTCAAACTCAAAGAGATCCACCTGTGCACCACCAACACCCAGCCAATAATTTCTTTTATAATTATGATTTCTTGGTCCTGGTGTCTCTGCACAGCAATATAACAGTGACAAGGTACATTCAACTTCACTTCACAGTATGTATTCACACCCGAGCTTAGAAAAATGAGACAGACTTGTGTTTATTCCTATCAGACAATAATCAACTACCTTGAATTATTTCTGTATTATATTTGCTGAGTGACAAGGCTACAGCTCT